CCATCAGCCACAGATGTGGTGCTTTTTGTTTTTTTTAGCAAGCCAACTAGCTAAGAAATGTGCTAGTCTACTAAATGCACATTTCTTAAGGAGGCTTGGGAATTGGGAGTTACTTTATCATGAATGTTACAATTCAGGTTTCACAAGTGTATTATTTGTTTATAAATAGTTATTCATTGATTTTTTTTTTCCTATAGGTAATTATTTGCAAATCACTATAAATGGTTAATTAATTTATGGTCATATTTTGAAAATGAAATTTAAAGAAATGCCCTAATTGTATATAAAACAGAATGAATTAGCTTTATTTAATTTTCACGAATGCCTTTATTGTTTTTTGTTTTGAAAATGCAGCAATTATATTTGAAAAATCCAATTTTCTTGCGATATCACAATTTATATTCAGCATAGAAAGTCCATTCAACTGTTCCTGCCCTATAGTTGAACAATAATAATTTTTTATCTAGTTTAAAACATTAAACTTTTTTAGTGTTTTTTTAGTTTAAAATTAGCAAAATAGGTTCTTTTAAGAAATAAAACCTCATTCTCAAGTTCTTGTAAGATTTCATTTGCTGGTTCAATTTGAATTATATTTTGTGATTTTTTTAAAAATGAATATATTTTCTTCAAGTTCGTGCATGCTTCTGCGGCCAACTTTTTTCTCTGCTGCTTTTTTTTTCCACTGCTATAAAATTTTCTCCTTATTTTAATGGTATCTGAAAATATTATTGAAATTTGAAAACATAATAAATTTATACATCAATCAAACTTATTCAAATTTATATGTTGAATTATGTTTAAAAAATTATAAAATGATTTACCAGAACAAAAAAATATTACTATTCTCAAAGTTACAAAATGTTGTAAATATATTTCTTTCTAAAGAAGTTAACATACAAATTGTAATATACCAAGGTGCAATGTATCAATTTAAAGAAAACAGCAAGAAACAGTTCAAAATAAAATGATTTAATCCTGTTTGATGAAGTACAACTAAAAAAGAAGAAAAAAAAATGAAGCTACTTAAAAACAAAATACTAAGTCATAACACAATAACTTGCACAAGATAAAAATGATTGTATCAATTTGATCAAGCGTGCCCGACGGAGATTTAACTACATCATTAAATGACGTTATCTCTATAATGTCGGATTTAGGTTTGGAAATTTGTAATTATGAAAAAGAAATTAATTTAATAAGTCCATTTTAACTTTATTTCAACTTTCAAATTGAGTCAACTCTAAGATAAATTATTTAGAATAATTAAAAATTTAGAATTATTATTTTAGTGTTTAAAAAATGTATTTTGAAAATGTGAGCCCCCAACAAAATTGGAGGCCCAGGACATATGGTCCATGTGGCTCCCCCTCTGATAGGGCCTGTTCACCATGCTTGAAGAATGTTGCAAAAAAATTCTAAAAAAGAATTTTCAAAAAAAAATTTAACAAAAAAGAAAAGAAAAAGTTAAAAAAAATATATATATAAATAGTATACACAAAAAATAAAAATATAATTCAGGTAAAATGAAACTTAAAAACAATAAATACTCAAATAATTTAAATCAAGTTTTAATCACGTTTGGATTAAAAAAATAGAATTTTTTTGTCTTTAATAATATTCTTTATATTAGTAAAGAAAACCCTTTGAAATAAATATAACAAGTTCAAACAATTGTTTAATAATTAAGCACATTTAATTTAAACTATATTTTTTTAATTGATTTATATATAGAAGGTTTTTATATAAATACACGCTTATAAATAATTTGACTTTAAAAAAAATGTATATTAACTTAAATGCTTTGTATAAACATTTTTTTAAACATACATTCATTTGTAGAAATTAATACTTAACAAAGTAAAACTAATTAAATTTATAAAATTATTTGTTAGATAAATGAAGTAAACAAAAAAGGATTTAAAAAATCTCTTTGTAATAATATTAACCATAAAATAATTAAATCATTTCCATTTCAATGGAATAACATATAATACTGCCTTTTTCTTTTGTCAGAAAAGTATTAAGAAAAATAATTACATTAGCTATACAAACCCGTAGAATGTGGATCATGGTAAGTTGGTTTCACACCAACCATCTCATTACTTATTCTTTATATAGTCTTGTTACTTCATTGTTTTTTAGTTAACTGTAGAAAAATATTCATTTGAAAATCTAGGCTTTGCATTAACAACTAAAGTTTCGTAATTTGAAAACATCCTATAATAAATGTGTAGAGAAGTTATGCAATTTATTTTTTGCATATTTAGAGCTTATTAGAAACCTCTCCATTTAATTCAAAATAAGAAGGTTTGAATGTAACATCTTTCTGCTTTAGAAAAGAAATTTGTCTCATTAATGTTAGATGTGCAGACTTAAATAATTGATCTCTAAAATGGATAACAACTTTGACTGTTCTCTCGGTGTTTTTTAAAATTTGTATTTATAATAAAGTTTAAACCTTTCCACTACTAACTCCTCTCCATTACGTTATAACAACATG